GGTTTGTCCTCTCTTTTGTAGGTATGCAAACTGAAATGTAGATAAATTTAAATAACTTTTGTCACCAACTCATACTAGAAAAAGTTTTGTGGTTCTCCCATTCAGAATTTTTTACATAAACTATCTTCACTAGCTGTATTTTGCTTCTGTTTATTGTTTAAACTAAAAATAGACACCCATAAGTACGTTTTAAGAATTTATATTTTGCTTATTTCAACTTTCTCTAGCTAGAGACACGCTAGCAAAATATAGTGGATCACATCATACTGCATTGATTCTTCAGAAATATGTTTTTCCAGAAAATCAAGCTCCATTGTTAATTTCTTCAGCTGTGAAAACAAAAAGTATGCGTATCAGAGAAAGACAGGTAAACCTTAGCTGGGGTCATTTCTGACTTTTTAACCAGAATGGGAGAGGGGGGTCATAGAAACATTTACAGATTTTATAAGCACATTTAATAAGTATGTTTATAGAAGCAGGATTTCCTTAATTTTGTTTCAGCAGGGATTGTCACACAGGTTGAACTCTAGAAATCCAGCTTGCGTGGTAAGGATGGTAAGGAAGCGTGCGGACCGATACACTAACAAGCAAACAGTGGTAACAGCACACCAGGCACTTCCCTCCCCCTCGCACTGCACGTGTCTCCCGGAGAACCCCGGGGACGGTCTGCCCTGCGTGCTGTGTACCCGGCTCGCCCCTGGTACGAGAAAGCTTCCGACCACCACCAGGAGCTCTGGAGTGTGGGGGAGGGCTCAGCCCAGGTGAGGGCGGCCGCTATAAAGTACAGCTGCTTCCTGCAGGTTTTAAAAAACTACTTAGAATAGTTCAGTGGAGAATTTCCCGCTCACCTCTAGACTGAACACATTTAACGACCTTGCCTGTGCTGCAGCTGCGGGGGGTCACTCACCCCTTTTACCAGGATCTGCCATATTTATTCTCACTTCTCCAGCTTCTGCGTTAATTTTGACACAGCCATTGTGCACAACGGCGTTTTCATTTTTAACCCTTGGCTAAGCTGCTTTTTTATGTGATGTCTTTAAAAGAAATTGCTTCACTCTCCTGGGGCTGTTTCCTACACAACCTTAGAAAGCAAAGCGAACCTGCACAACATTGAGGCACGGATTTATGTGAGGGAAGTAAGCGGAGCCCGCCTCTGCCTGTTCCTGGTGTATCAAGTGTGCTTTTTGTCCCTGCTAAGGGTATTTTTATAAGTATTTGGGATTTATATTTAGAGAGTTTTCATGAAAGAAAAAAGGGAGGAAGGGACCAGGAATAGAGGCGGGAAAGAAGGGAAAGTCGAGAAACCTCATGCGATTAAAAACTGGCACAGGAGGCTGACACTGACAGAGGATCTATCACCTGCGGCACAGGCCTTCAGGCTAAATCCGGAGGGGCCGGGACTGACCTTGTCAGATGCAGCAGTCACATTTCTTCTTATATAGGTCTTGCTTTATCTTGGTCTTAACCATCCAGCAGAAAAGTATAAAAACGAGGTATAAAAAGTAAAGCCGTATTAATATGCTGAGCTGTGAAAAGCTCAAGTCAGCAACTTCTGACGTTGCCCATCCTACGCATACCCCACTGCTATTATGGACTACTGGACTATATTGGAATATTTTGCTGAATTCACACACCTACAATATTTAAATGGCAATGGAATACCCATCTCTGACAAAGTTAAATAAAAAAACGGGATACAAACGAAGGACTATTTTGTATCTGTATATACAATAGTTAGGATAGATATACAGCTACTCTCAATTCAGTGAGAAGATTTGTACTAAGAGTGTTTGGACAGGATATCATGTCTGCATCTTGTACTATGAATGACCACTAAGAAGATAACAATATGCAATGTATTATTGAAACTGTCCTACTAATCGGTTTTGAAACTCTCATTGCTATTTCTCAATAAAATAAAAAATAAATCAATCTTGAAGGATTTTGTGAAATGTTGAACAGAAAACCTGGCACACGACAGCACTCATGCATTTGTGGTTGTTTGCTTACTGGACACAGGCTGTCGCTATGCACTCCAGGATGGCTCTGAGCCCGCCGTTCAGCACAGGATGGCCTTGCGCTGGTGCTGCCTCAGCCTCCGCGCGCTGGGGTCACAGGAGCGTGCCCACGCTCCTGACCACTTCAGTCTTTGAAGCATCCCGATGCAGGCCCTTTTAATTCCTCCACCACTCACAGCAGCACCTCACCCCCCGCCTCCCTTGGGTCTTCCCAGGGAAACAAATCTGGGAACTTTTGGTTGCTTCCAAACGGTTTATTGCTAGGAGCAAGGAGAGGCCAGCAGCACACTGCTTCTGCTCCAGGTCCAGGAGCACTTCTAGAAGTGCTGCAGAAGCTTGCAGCCTGCACTGCCTTGGGCCTTTCCTTTGCCAGCGGCTTGCCTGCCTTTCTAGCGTTCTCAACATAGTTCTACAAAGAAGCCTTTCAGATCTCCCAGCATCCATTTTGCACATGGAATAAACAAAAGAGAAATTTAAATGTGATGGTGGAATGCTAGATGGGAAGCAGGTGCTCTCAGATGTAATACTGTGTTGTCATGGCAACATTTCTGGAAGCAGCTATGTACCAGAACTCCTAAGAGCATGAACATTACTTTGATTTAAAGACATAACTAGATATGCTAAAAAATGTGAATTCAAGGCAAGCATGCTTGTCCAAATGTTAGAATGGTAAGAAATTATCAAATAAAAGTGGTATGATTACATAAATTATGGCTTATCATAAAATGAAATACTAAATAAATCATGGGACTATCATGCAAATAAAAATGCCTAGAAAAATGCCCAGAAGGCTGGGCATTACTTTGCTATGCTAAGGTGCTAGGATGAATACGTACTGCCACAAAACACAGGTAAAGGAAAGAAAGCGAGAGCTCAGGGGCACTGCCAGCTGATATGCGGAGACAATTCCTGTGTCTCACGGGCAGATGTGGGTCTTTTCTGCGTGTGGTCAACATGCTAAAAGACCAATCCGTGATCACCTCCAGCTTCCAAAGCTCGTGCTACGTTCCTGCCATCAGTGGCCATCACTCCTGGCATGCTGGCTGCGGTAAATCACACAAGCCTCGCAGATCAGTAAGCATGCTTCTGGGAGTGTCTGGGCACGCACGGAGGCTGGCCTGGACGCCACTCAGTCTCCCTCCGGCACCGTTCCCCTGCTTTGCTTCTCAGCTGCATATACAAGCTAACTCCTTTATTTTTAAAGGAAAAAACCCTCAAAAAACCAAGGTAGCCAGACACTGTTTTGTTTCGTAGGACACTGAGGCTCGAGTAGCTAATGGAACATCTAGCAAGGATCTGAGTGAGGGCGGTTACCGGCCAAGCCCGTGC